CGCCCGCCTCCCGCCTGCTGCCCCGGTGCGCTCAGCCTGGCTCTTGCAATCCTGCGCCTCCCGCCAAGCTGCGAGCTGTCAGCACGCAGTTTCGCTGAACAGGAAACGGAGTCCCAGGGATTGTGTTAGTCTCTCCGAGGCCGCCCAGGGAAAGGTGGGTGGGTTGGGGCTTGGCGGGCTCTCCCCAAAGTGCGCTGGAGAAGTGAGTCTGGTCCTTCCGAATGCCTGTGACACTGTGGGGCTTGATTACCTGGACGCTGGGGGGCGCAGCAGGATTCAGGGGCTGGGAAAGAAGCCCAGTATCTCTGGGGCTGAGGCTGGTGGGGAGGGAGTGAGGCCTGGGGCAGGGACCCAGAAGGGGGATTGGCTCCGGGTTGGGAGGTGTCATATATAAAGGACACTTGACAGTGACGGGGACAGGATTTAGGGACCGATGGGTGGACTGGGGTTTATGATTCGTGGCATGGGCTGCCAAAGAGAGAAAGTCAGATGGGAGGACAAGTGGGCAGGCTCACCCCCCCCCCCCCCCCCCACACACACACACCGAATACTGTGGGGGCATCTCTGAGCTGTGGCCCAACTTCAGTTCTAGGCACTTTTCTTGCCTTCTCCCATTTCACTGTTACCCCGATCCTGGGACATGGGAACTGGCCTGTGTCCATTTTACAGGTAAGCACACTGAGGCCCAGGGAGGTTAGGGTGCTTACCCAGCCAGGAAGGGACAGTGCTGGGTTTGAATTTGGGCTGCTGCCTCCGGCTGCCTCAGTATTAATCCCCGAATGTTACATAACACAATGAATGGGGAGGGGTTAGCAGGGCTTCATGCGGCTGGAATCAGACCTAGGAATTTTCCAGAGACCAGATTTTGGAATCTGGCCCAGCCATGCCACCAGGGACAGGAAACACCTTCTGAGTTGTCACATGATCGCATGGCACTTCAAATGGGGGCCCCAGAGCATTTGAGGGAGCAAGACTCAGGGACCTTTGTGGGGGGCGGCTTCAGCACCAGGGCCAAAGGGTTTCAGGACAGTGAAGGGGGTCAGCTGGCTGTGACCTGGGAGCCAAGGCCCTGCTAATGAGAACCAGGTGCAGTGTGACAGAAGATGGGCAGCTGGGGGCGGGGGGGGGCCTTGGGTCTGAGCAGTCATGTCACTGTCACCCTGGAATCCATGAGGGCAGGCAGCTGGTTCCTTTTCAATAGCACACCTCCATCCATGTGCTAATTCAGTATGTTAAATAGTGTAGGGAACCTGTGCTCAAGATAGACCCACCCAGGCCCCATGAAAAAAACTGCCAGGAGATCCTCAGACTTAACCTAGGGGAGGGTTCTGTAGGCGAATGTGAGTAAGCCAGGACCCCTTCCTGGCAGTGGCTTGTCCGGGAGGTAGATGCTATTCTTAGCTTCATGTTACAGAGGAAGAAACTGAGGCTTGCATGGAAGGCACGTGCAAGCCAGAGGCACTGGGTTGTGGCCAAACCCTGCCAGAAGTGTAGGTCAGTGGGTCCAGAGCCCCTGCCCCCCTAAACCATCCTGGGAGGGAAGGCAGAGCCCACATGCTAACTCAGGTGGCTAAGACCACTGAACCCCCAGAAGCTCCCTGGTGGTGAAAAGAATCTGAATTTCCTGGCGCGGTGCCACACAGCCTGCCTGTCAGCGGGCTCCTCTGCACAGACACCAGTCTCCCCCACATCTTGACTGCTCGCCAGGTCTTCCCGGCTGAACCTCCACCATGGGGCTGGTGAGATCTCCCCTTCCCAGCCTGCACCCCATGAGCAGGCACCTACCCCCGCTAGGATTCTATATATATAAAAGCCTAAGCAACCATTTGACCAGTAGCGCTGACACACACTGACCACCAAGGGGGCAGATGCTTCGACCGGTAGGTTACCTTGCTGCTGGGGTCCGGCAGATGGGGACCGGGCAAGATGGGCCGGACATGCCCTGAAGCCCTCCTGCCGTCCCTCCCCTGCCCCGATTGTGCACCTGTGGCGTCCCTCTACCTGGCCTGTGCCCTCTCACAATCCGGGACCCCTCGCGGGATGTCGGAGAGCCACAGGCCAGGCCGAGGAACCTCACGGTGCATGAATCCGTGCACCAGACCTCTAGTCTAGAATAAAATGAAATATACTTGTTCACAGCAGCATGATTCACAACAGCTAAAAGGAGGAAACAACTCCAATGTCCAGTGGTGGATAAATGGATAAATTGTGATTCATTCACACACCGGAATATTATTCAAACTTATAAAGGAAGGAGACTCTGACACCTGCTACAACATAGATGAACTTTGAGGACATTGTGCTCAATAAAATCAACCAGACACAGAAGGATAAATACTGTTGATTCCACTCATATGAGGTTCCTGGAGGAGTCAAACTCACAGAGACAGAAGGTAGATGGTGGGTGACAGGCTAGGGGAGAGGGAGGTGAAGAAGTTAGTGTTTAATAGGGACAAAGTGTCAGTTTGAGAAGATAAGAAAGTTCTGGAGATGGATGGTGGTTATAGTTGCACTTAAAAATAGTTAAAATGGTAAAGTACAGGTTATGTGTATTTTGCCACAATAAAAAGAGGAAAAATATATTAGATTTTCCACCCTACCCTTAAAAAAACACAACCTTGGGGGACTTACTAAAACTCCCATTTTGGAGATGGGCAAACTGAGACACAGTTTTGGTATTGATCACTGGATCACAGTTTTGCGAAGGGGGCTGCCTGGCCTCCCATGCTGACCCCTGCCCAGGGTTCCTAAAGCTGGGTGATCACCAGCTGGGGCCTCGGCCTGGCCGCCCACACCCTGAATCCCTATACCCCAGGTCACAGCTTCACTCCCCCTCCATTCTGCTTTCTTGTGAACTTGAGATAACTCCCCAGACTCAGCAGATTTCCCTGGAGAACTGCAGGAAGCTTCGCTCAAAATACCTGCCGCAGGTGAGGGGGCAGCTGCTGAGACAGCAGCCAGACTCCCAGAGGTCTACCTTGGGAGGCTCGAGGGGCTGGGCATGGGGTCAGCCTGGGCACAGTCCTCTTCTCCTAGAAGGTGCCAAGGTGGCAGAGGGGACTTTGCAGATGGATTAAGTACCCTGAGGTGGGGATGACTCTGGAGAAACACCAGAGAGGGTGGTGTTTGTAGAAAGAGCTGACAACAATGAATGCTTGGAGGGGAGAGGTAAAGATAAGGTCTAATCCTGGACCAGTAGAAGCCAAGTTCCCCCACTCACAAAGCTGGGCCAGCCTCAAGGCAGTGCCCTGCCGCAGTCATGGGGTTTCTGAAGCACAGAGGCAGGGTTCCCTCCTGCTGACTCTGCTCACGAGGCCCTGTCCCCAGAGGCTAAGCTCACGAGTGCAGACATGAGGAAGTCCAGTGCAGTTCAAAGGCCAGGAGACCAGAGAAGTACCTGGAGCCAGGGTGAGTCATGTCTGCCCGGGTGTGCCCACCTTGGCACCTTCTAGGAGAAGAGGACTGTGCCCAGGCTGACCCCATGCCCAGCCCCTCGAGCCTCCCAAGGTAGACCTCTGGGAGTCTGGCTGCTGTCTCAGCAGCTGCCCCCTCACCTGCGGCAGGTATTTTGAGCGAAGCTTCCTGCAGTTCTCCAGGGAAATCTGCTGAGTCTGGGGAGTTACCTCAAGTTCGCAAGAAAACAGAATGGAGGGGGAGTGAAGCTGTGCCTGGGGTGTAGGGATTCAGGGTGTGGATGGCCAGGCCAGGGCTTCAGCTCATGACCACCCAGCTTTAGGAACCCTGGGCAGGGGTCAGCATGGAAGGCCAGGCAGCCCCCTTCGCAAAATTGTGATCCTATGATCAGCACCCTTGGGGAAGGAATATTATACTACTGATGGCAGAGCGTAGACTTTGTAGTATCTTTGAAACTTTCTGTAAATCTAAAATGATTCAAAAATTAAAATTTTATTTTAAAAACCCACAAGAATTAGGAGATCATTATAAGAAATTCAAGCACAACCTATAAGGCAGTGACTCAAAATCAACTATAACCCCTGCCTCAAGATCGTTGTAGCCAACCCTAGGCATTTATCCTTCAATTTCCTGTCTGAGTTTATATTAACATGCACACTTCTTCTTTTATAAAAATGTCATCACATTGTGTATGATTTTGCTCATTTTTTCCACCTAACAGCATACCTTAAGTGACTTGCCATTTCTGAATCACTGTTCCATGCTCCCCAGCCCCCAAGCCATGTGAGGCCCCTGCCCCTCTCTGGCCTTGAAGCAGACCCCCTTGCTTCATGTGCTCCAGCCACACAGGCCTCCCCTGGGCCTGGGCCTCACCCTGCTCCTTGGCCACCTGACCTTTGCATAGGCTGTTCCTCTGCTGAGAACACCCTCTCCCTCACACCCTCTTCCATCCAGTTCCCCTTCATCCTCCAGGTCCTGCCTGGAGCATCCCCACTTCAGGCAAGCTCCCCCACACTCCCAACCCAAAAGGAGCTGAGGGCACCCATTCGGGTGTGGGTGTGAAGTCGTCCCAGGACCTCTGAGTCCCACTGGGTGTGACTTTACCCCTCTGTACCTCAGTGTCCTGACCCATAAAGTAGGGGTGAGGAGTGTCACGTCACATCTGAGCGCCCCCAAGGCAATGGCGCCTCTCCGTAGGTGAAGGGCTCGGTCACGGGGTCAGTGCATGAGCAGTAGGACCTGTCTGGAATGAGGGTGAAGGAAAGAATGCTGCTTCTCATTAGTGGATACCTCTTAATCAGAAGTTACAGACACCCAAAGTCGCTAAAGTGAAAAAAAAACAACTGGGTTGATAGCTTCAGGTATGGCTCGGTCCATCTCAGGAATCTGGCTCTTTCTGTTTCCTGCCTCTCATGTCCCTAGCTAGGGTGACTCTTTCTGGGTGGCATTCCCAGCTCACATGGGTGACCTCGGCCGTGATGGGTCCCGGGTCCTGCTCTACCCATACTAATGCCTGAGGACATCTGAGCAGCTCCAGAGACCGTGGGTTCTAGGGCAGGGATGGCAGAAACCATTCCACTCAGTCCACTCAGGGGGCTGGAGGGTCCTGGGACCACATGGCCGGCCTCAGGGATCAGCAGGTGGCACAGGGAGTTGGAGGAAGGGCAGGAGGAGACCATCGGATCTGCTCATAGGCATTTCCTAAGCCCCAAGGCCATAAGACAACAGACCACAGAGGGAGCCCGAGTCCAGCTGATCCACATCTGTCATGACCCACATGCCCAGAGGCAGGGTGTCTGGGCTGAAGCTCAGGATAGGGGGAATCCGGCTGAACCTGGGCCAGGGTCCAGGTTGGGGAACTGAGACACCACCGGACCTGGAGCCTCTGAACCTCACAACCACCCCCTCCACCTGCACCAGGTGTTTTGAGCTAAGCTCTGGGCCTCATCCTCTGGGAATCTGCTGAATCCAGCTGAGTTATAGTCAGAGGACAGAGGAGGTAAACAGAGATGAAGGGAAGGCGGAGACTGGAGGATGGGCCCAGGACTCCACAACTTCATCCCATCTCCATCTGGCCATTCCACAAGGGCTAGGGTTCCCCTGCAGGGTGCAGTGCCTGCTGTATGCACTTTCTACAGGACTCAGTGCCTGCTACATACACTTGTAGATAGAGTACAATGCCTGCTGTAGATGTGCCCTGTGGGAAGTATCTTCTGTAGCCCAGCCAGCGTGGCTCAGTGGTTGAGCATTGACTTATGAACCAAGAGGTCACGGTTCGATTCCTGGTCAGGGCATATGCCCAGGTTGTGGGCTCCATCCCCAGTGTGGGGTGTGCAGGAGGCAGCCGATCAGTGATTCTCTCTCATCATTGATGTTTCTATCTCTCTCTCCCTTCCTCTCTGAAATAAATAAAAACATATTTTTAAAAAGTACCTTCTGTAAACCCTCCTTGCATGGTGCAGTGATTTCTGCATGCACTCTCTTCAGGATACAATGACTCTTGTAGGCACTCCTTGGAAGATTCAATGTCTACTATATGCACTCCCTACAAGATGCAGTACCTACTGTATACACTCTCTGAACAGCAAAGTGTGTCTGTTGTATGATACAGTACATGCTGCATACATTCCGTACAGAGCATAATGCCCGCTATATTGCTCCATGCAGGACACAGTGCCTGTTGTATGTACTTTTTGCAGGGTGCAGTGCCTGCTGTATACACCCTGCATAGCACCATAGCACTGTGGCTGAGGCTTGGGTAATGAGGCATCTCTGAGGGGGATACAATTGTCCACTTTGTGGAGTCCCTGGGCCAAGCTTTCTTTCTTTCTTTCTTTCTTTCTTTCTTTCTTTCTTTCTTCCTTTCTTTCTTCCTTTCTTCCTTTCTTCCTTTCTTTCTTTTGTCTTCCTTTCTTTCTTTTTTATATATCGTTATTGATTTCAGAGAGAGGAAGGGAGAGGGAAAGAGAGATAAAAACATCAGTGATGAGAAAGAATCATGGATTGGCCGCCTCCTATACGTCCCCTACTGGGGATCAAGCCCACAACCCAGGCATGTGCCCTTGACTGGAATCGAACCTGGGACCCTTCAGCCCACAGGCTGACGCTCTATCCACTGAGCCAAACCAGCTAGGGCTCTTTCTTTTCTTTTTAAAAAATTGATCTTTATTGCTGATGAATATATTTTTATTGATTTCAGAGAGGAAGAGACAGAAACACCAATGATGAGAGGGAATCAGTGATCAGCTGCCTCCCGCAAGCCTCCCATTGGGGATGGAGCCCGAAACCTGGGCATGTGCCCTGATTAGGAATCAAACCATGATCTCCTGGTTCATAGGTTGACGCTCAACCATTGAAACTCACAAGCCAGGCCTGATTTATTTCTGACTCTCAGGCCCAGTCCATAGTGTGATACATAATCAGGGCTCAGAAGAGAGTGCCTGCTTCTGCTGTCCCCTCCCTCTCCCACCATCTTCTCTTCAGCCTTGTCCAACCACACTTAACTTCATCAAGGTCACAACTGCCTCCATCGATGCCAAGTCATTGGTCCACTGGTCCACTGGTCCACATCTTCATCTTGCCCACACCGGCTGTATCTTATTTCTCCCAGAAGCCCGGTGTGGCCTCTGGGACCCCACACCCACCTGTTCTCCATCCCCTGCCCCTTTCTGTCCCTGTGACCTCACCCATGACCCTAAACACCCACATGTGCTGAGGACACCCACTTGTTCACCTCCACCCAGACAACATGACCCCTGGATTCCCAGCCTCTCCTTGGTGACCCACAGACATCTCCCTGTAGAGCCATTCAGAAGTGACCACTGGACTCACTCTAACCCCTCAGCCTGCCCCCCTCAGTACATGGGCGCCTCCCTTCACCAGCCACTCAGGCCAAGCTTCTGACTCAAACCTTCCCAACACTCCCCCCATGGGATCCATCAGCAACTCCTGCAGACTCCACTCCCAAACAGCTGGGAGCCACCCACTGCTCTCACCTCCAGGGACACCCTGGCTCAGCCCCTGCCCAGAACGACCACTGCTGCCTCTCACCACTTTCCTGGCCCCCCTCTTTCCCCCCTGGCAGCCGGGGGTAGATTTTCCAAAGCTAGAACACTCTTCCACCTCCCTACGCTCCTTTCCTGCCTCTGACCTCATCCCTTCCCCCACTCAGGCCACTTGCTCCACCCACCCCACCGCCTAACTTTATTCTCTTAGTCCAGCCTCGAGGCCTTTGCACTGGATGTGCCCTCCGCCTGAGCTGCCCTTCCCCCCACCTCCTGTGGCAATCACCTCCTTCATGAGGGCCTTCCTGATGTCCCCCACATCTGCAGGGGGGCCGGGCTGTTTCCTCTGAGCACCTGATCACAAGGTAAGATGATACCGACCCGGCGCCTGCCTCCCTCACTAGCCTGGCTGGCTGGGTGGTTCACCAGTGTGTTGGCACGTAGTAGGTTCTCAATAAATGTTGAAGAAACAAAAGGCATTGGGTGGCTCTGTTTTGAGCTGCTCCAGGCTGGAGTGTAGACACGCAACCCCTCTCTCCCTGTGGTCAGGGCTGGGAGACCCATGGAGGGCTTCCAGGAAGAGGAGGCCCTCAAGCTGAGTCTGGCCGGAGCCTGGGGGCAGAGGACCCCCTTGATGCCCCATTTCCTCAACCTACCTACCACGGAGCACCGAGGGTGACAGTGAGGAGCTGGGGGAGGGGCGGGCAGAGGACACCCGCTGCGTGCCTGTGGGCGGGGAAGGCGGCACGCTGGAAAGGGTGCGGTGGTGGGAGCCCTGGAGTAACCCCGACCTCGCCAGTCCGCGCCAAGAGCTGACGTCCAGCTGAAAGGGTCGCGGTGCCCCCCTTGCCCGAATGGGAAAGTTGAGGTCGGAGAGGGTGAGGGCAGGGCCATGCAGAATGGGGACCTCTGGACCCGGGTCTGGCCCCAAAGCCGTCGCTCACAGTCCGGGGGCCTGGCAGGGAGGGCGGGAGGCGGGGTGGGGTGGG